AGAGAGAGAGAAGGTGAAAAAGCGGGATAGACACTACACATGTCTACATCAACACAGCTTGTCGTCCTGCTCACACTTTAGAGGGTAGACTACACTTTCTTATACCTATTCGATACATTAGTATAAAAGCTATTATACCCCTTTCAATCAACCTTTGTAATGGGTAAAAGGTAAAGTAAAAATGGAAATCAGAAAAGTTTGGGAAGCCCATAAATGAAACAATGAGAGGTAAATATTAATTACACAAATGGTAACCATATAGGATGGATGAGAGAGGGGGAGGGCAAGAAAGATAGAGAGAAAAGAAAAAGCAATAGAAAGAAAAAGACAGACAGAGAGAGCGGGCCAAAGACAAAGAGGTAGATAGAGTAGAAGACAGAGTGGCAGATATAGGCTGATGCCAATGAGAGGGGGAGAGAGACGGGGAACGACAGACACAAGTGGAATGAGAGATAGATATGATATGGTTGCTCGCATATCAAATACAACTAATTCGAGAAAAAAGGGAGCAGCTGCTGCAGCGCCGCCTTTCGTCCTTTTTTTTTAGTCTTTTTGTTTTTTTTTTTTTTTTTTTTTTTTTTTTTTGTTTCTTCTCTTTGGAAATTTGTTGTTTATTTTTAATTTCTAACACCGCTTTGAAGGCATTTTTCTTTGGGCGCTTGATTGAGGTGCCCGCAACAAACCGCAGTATTTGCATTATTTGGCTTTTGTTTGTTTAGGGCGGACCGTCCAGCCGCCGCCACGCCCATTTCACTTCCCTGCTCTCAGCTCTCTGCGTCACAGGTGTCAATTAGTGTGGCCAATTTGCCATGCATAGGCTTCATCGACAGCTGCTGCGTTTGCTTGTTGCTGTAGCTGTAGCTGTTGTTGTTGTTGTTGTTGTTGTTGTTGTTGACTGTTTTTGGTGTTGCTGTTAAGTAAACAGCGGACCTTAGCTGACTGGTACGTTTTAAAAAAATATATATATATTTGCGAGGGCAGTTTGCAAACCTTGACAATTGGAGATAGGGTAAAATCTGAAGGGTGTTTAGTTCAGTGAATTCATAGAGAAGTGTTTTTTTTTTTTTTTTTTATTCTAAAGCCTTTCAGGCTACCCTCGTATGTGTGTATGTCTGGTACATTATCCTTAACTTTTTCGCCGCTCTTCAATCATACTTTCGTCAGCATATTTTTTTTTTTTTTTTTTTTTTTTTTTTGCGTATAATTTTCTCCTGATGACATAAACTTGGCTCTTTTTACAGGGTATGTAACTGTCTTTACAAGGTATTTAGCTAGTTGCAGCATATGAGTCTAGTTGAGCATATGAAGTTAAAATGTTCTAGCCTTTCAGATCTAGTATCTTCCATATGTAACGTAAATTACTGTGGGCTAACTGATTAATTAAACTGATAATTTTTACAGGGTATATATTGATTATTTGCCGCATTGAAGCTTTCGTTGGCTTAAGGCTGAACTTTGCATTGCTTATAATTTATGTACTGCTCAATCTGTTCAATTTAGTATTTTTGTATAGCATGCAAATACTTTTTACAGGGTATTTTAGTGCCTTTTTGCCTCTGCCAATAGCATCTTGCATAGCAACAGCCGACATTCACTCTTTAATCTCTTTACTTTCTTCTCTCTAAGTTCAGCTTTGCTTTAAATTTACATTAAATAATCAAAATTCATTGTGAGCTCTGTTTTTTTTATTTTGTACAGGGTATACAGTTGTTTGCGCAACGTTTTGATGCCTCTGCCTGAGCCCTAACAAGCGCCTCGTTAACGGCAAGCGCACAATTACACTCGAAACGCTTTAAATTTTAAGTGCAGCTGCAAGTTCCTGCCCGGCCGCGCCGTGTTGACTGCCAAATGGCAACCGGGAAACGGGCAGCTGGCAGCTGGCACCTGTGTGGCACCTGTTGGCCATGCCACTCACTCAAAGCCACGCATTACGCTTATGCCACATTCACATACACATTTGCATTCGCATTCGCATTCATGTTCATTGTGAGCTAATTGGCCGCTGTATGCGCCGGCTTTGCGGCACTTTGCCGCTTGAGGCTCACTCGAAAGGCATTTCAGTTTATTGTATACCCTGTACAGAAATAAAATGTTTTTCATAGGGGCAGCGCCCCAATTAAAAGGGCTTAAGTTTATTGTAAACCAAACGAGCATTCAAATGGCCGATGGAGACTGCAATGCATTACAGTCAGGCATATTGACTGAATAATACTCGTTCAATAAGTCAATTCAATATATTCTATGGTATCTTAATTACCCAAATTGTGATAGGCGATACGATCCGAATAGCTGAGAGGAGTGGAAACTTATTCCAATCTATTTATAAAGAGTAAATTTTTTTTGACAAGAAAACCAATATACTCTTTTCAATTCATGAACAATTATCTGTAATATTTTCTTCACAATAGGTTCGAATCATTATACTATATATGTATATACACATCTACGTCTTCCATCCTTCTATACCCCTCATCTTTTCTTAACCATCTGATTGCAAATTGTATTTCACAACATATGTATATTCAAATTTCTTTCATATATATTCATCTGTTAAACTCTTCCGATTATGGGGCTATGTCCACTGTAGGTGTGGCATACTATATAGACTTCAATTGAACATTGTCTGAGCTCACTCCAAAGCAACTGAAAACTTTTTACTTGGCTTCAACTTCGTTGTGGAATTTTCGGTTGTTCTTGTTCAAATAAATTTATTTTGTTATTCAGTGTGAAAGCCGAGCATAATTGAGACTTGCAGCTGATGCGTCTGTTGCTTAATATTTGGGCGTTTGGCCATTGGATATTGGGCATTTTCGGCCTGGGCGGGTCTGTGTTTGTGGGGGCGGGGCTGCGTTTGGCCGCGAGCGCAAAATAAATCAAAATTGCTTTGGCATATTAATTTCATAGCTCAGCACTTTGGGCGTTCATCTTTTATTGCTAGCTCTGGCCAAATATACCATAAATAGGCGGGTATATGCGACTGGTGGGTGAATTTGTATTAAGCCATTGTCATTTACTGTGTGGGCCCAGAACTGAACAAACTGCGAAGGAAGACGAGCCTCCAACCTGTTTTTATCAGACAAGTTTCATTGCTTACGAGCTACTAGTTATAGGAACTATTGTTTAAAACATTATCAAAGCTTTTTATTGTGGTAACCACTTTGTTTATCTAGACTTTTTTGGGCATTGAACTTTTTTTTCATGATAATAAAGTAGTTAGAACGAAATATAAATGACTAACTATATTTACACATAAATAAATAGAGATAGAATTCAACGTAATCTAATCTTAACTGAAAATTTCACAATATTTTTATTGAAGTAAATTCGGGTAAAAATATAAATAATTGAATGAATTATTAATGTAGAATAAATTGATGTATAATATTAATTTACCATTTCTATAAAAAATATAATACAATTATTAATTGCGTAAATGGTTCCAGTAATTCAGTTTACTTTTTAATATATTTTTTTCTAGTATTTTTTAAGTACCAGCCAGCTATAGAGAACTGGGAGAAGAAACTGAAGTAGGGCGTTGTCTGCACTGAGTTGAGCTGCGTGTTGACTTAATTTCGATGCGAGTTGGCGATGTTTGGGATAAAAATAATAATTGTGGCCGCTAGCGCCAATGGACGCCGTTTCCGGTTTTTCAGTTTGTTTTTGCTTGAGCTTCCTTTTTGGGCAGCAGCTCCTGCTACTTGCTTGGACTTGCTCCTTTTCGATGCCTTCTCGCATATTTCTGCACTCTGCAACTTGTGCTGTGTAATTTTAATTTTCCAACGTCAACGCAATGCCTCAGGCAGCTGATTGGCATGGCGTGCGAAGAGGGAGGCGCAAGGGGAGGTGATTTAGCTGCTGTAATGCTGGTCAGTTCTATTGCAAGTGCTGTCCAATAGATGGCTCTGACTGAGCTCAAGGACTTTGATGGACGTCAGCCCCTAACCTGCCTCACCCCATTGCCCGCTTTCATCATTTATTGCTCATATTTCGAGTTCGCCATTTTCACATTTTCGCTATGCCAGTGGAAAAAGAAAAAGAAAATAAAAATGAAAATGAAAATAAAACAAGCCAAAAACTGAGAAAGCTGAGAAATTTTTAATAAAAACATTTCGCGTTGTTTTCATAGCTGCTGCTTTTGTTGCTTCTGCTGCTGATTATTTACCATTAATATATATATGTCTATATATATATGCTTGACCATAATCAATTTACATTTCGCAAGGCAAACTGTTGAAAAGTTGAATCAATGTTGAATTTGTTGCAGCTGCCACTGAAGAATTACTCAGCTTTCAGCTGCATCTGATGAACTTGCTCTGCTGAATAAGCGCTCTAGCTGAGATCAACCAGCAGCTGCAAGTGCTGAGCTACATGTTAGAGATAAATTAGTGTAGCTGCATGCGAGACTGAGATCTGCTCTAGGTAGATTTTATATATGCGAAACGGCATGTAAGCAATTTCAATTGAGATTGAATTTGATTGAGTACGCTAGGCAAAGGAAGGAAAGAGAATAGAGAAAAAAACATTCTTTTTTTTTATTGATTAATCTATTAAAAATTCACTTGTATTATAAAGTAGATTACCTAGTTTATGTTTTAATATATGATATGCATATGCAAGCTGGGACCACAGCAACTCAATTAGTGTCGCTTATACGCTGTGTGTGTATATTTATTTATTTGTATATATTTATTCAGATATATGTATATGTATATACTCTCTCAGTCTCTCATTATTTCTATATTTATTTATCTATCGTGCCTTTGTGGCTCTTCCTAACTCACTTTCTTTTTGATTGAAGCCAGGCATATTTGACATATGGTTTTTTCTGCTTCTCATCTCACTCATCATTTACGCTCACTTGTTCTGTATTTGCTCAACTATTCGTTTGTTTGCCGTTTCAGAAGCGATGAAAATAATCAAACATATCTCAATGAGAATGAGGGAGAGTAAACAACACTTGATTTGATTCGTTTATTTATTTGCAGCAGTTATTACGTTGCCTTAAACTTGACCATTCAATTTGGCCAATTGCTCTTTGGTGGGTTCAGTTTCCGGAGGTGCTGCAACGTCCTCAATGGTACCCAAAGTCAACGCTACGTAGTGATTGTACATGATGATCAGCATATAGAGAACAGCCACTATGGTAAATAAAAACAGAATTTACTATAACTTTATTCTATACATGAGAGAAAACGGCATACTCACTCGCCGCTAACCAGTAAATGGAGACTGTGATCACGGAGCTGAGAATGCGCCTATAGTACCAACGGCTCATCCCATAGAAGATCAGTCCGAAGAAAAGACAAGGCGTTGTCAACAGCCAGAAGAGCATACACTTATCCTTATGCTGCTGGTGGGCCTTTAGAATGCCAAAGAGCAGCACGCATGTCGCCACAAATTGCAAACGCGCTATTATCATAAGATACTTAAATATCTGTTCGTTATCTATATGGTATATAGATAATTATTAAGTGTGTGCATATTGTTTATGTTTATTGGTTATTAGCTTACAGCCTTCCGAAAGACTGGTAGTCAGCATTGCCACGCCCATGGCAAGCAGCCCAATGAAAAGCTCAGTACGTTTTGCGCTTAGCATTTGCCTCATATTGCCTCGACGATTGCAGAATTACTGAATACATTGAGTTCAATTGAAATTAGCATTTGTTGTTTTTGCGCCGGTTTGCCTTTCTCTATCTTTCGATCTTCTTTTCTCTCTATCTATCTCTCTCTCGCTCTCTCTCTCTCCATCTCATTTTCTCTCTGCCGCTGACTCAGCATTGTTACTGCACTCAATTAATTTACTCTCACGTTTTGTTGCTCTCTTTGTCTCGCTATCTTCATTACGCTCACTGTTCACTTACATTCTCAGCTTCTCTGTTTATGTCTGTGGCTTTCATTTAAGAACGATATGGAGCATAGACATACATAAATATATAAATTTATTTATACATATAAATTTGTTTATAT